GCTAAGTTTGTTTGTTCTTGTTTGACTTGTCAGAAGTCGAAGATTGAACATCAGAAGCCTATAGGTCTTATGCAATCATTGAGTATTCCAGAATGGAAGTGGGACAGTGTTTCCATAGACTTGGTGTCGCGTTTTCCAAAGACTGCTAAAGGAAATTATTCAATTTGGGTGATTGTGGATAGGTTGACTAAGTTGGCTCATTTCTTACCGATGAAGATCAATCATCCTATGGATAAGTTAGCTGAGATGTATATTAGAGAAATTATGAAGTTGCATGGAATACCTTCGAGTATCGTGTCGGATAAAGATCTGAGGTTTACGTCAAAATTTTGGATAGGTTTGCAGAATGCCTTTGGTACTAAGTTGAGGTTGAGTTCTGCATATCATCCTCAAACGGATGGACAGGAGGAAAGAAGATTTGTTGAGGGATTGTGTGCTAGAATAAGGAGGAGCTTTGGATAGTCACTTTCCATTGATTGAATTTACTTATAATAACAGTTTCCATTCTAGTATTGGGATGACACTGTATAAAGCATTGTACGGTAGGAGGTGTAGAACTCCATTATATTGGTATGAGTCGAGAGAGAGCGATGTACTCGGACCTGAGGTTGTACAAGAGACAACTGAAAAGATAAAGATAATCCAAGAGAAGATGAAGGCTTCTTGGAGTCGTTAGAAGAGTTATCATATAAGAGGAGAAAGGACCTTGAGTTCAAGAAAGATGATCATGTGTTTTTTAGAGTTACTCTGGCAAGTGGTGTTCATAGAGCTTTGAAGTTGAGAAAGCTTACGTCGTGTTTTATTGGTCCGTATCAGATATCAGAGAAGATAGGTGAGGTGTCTTATTAGGTCACTTTTCTGCTCTTAAACGTGAATTTACATGATGTGTTTCATGTGTCTCAGTTGAAAAAGTATATTTCATACCTATCGCATGTGATTCAAATAGATGATATACATGTGCGAGATAACTTAAATTTTGAGGCATTACCATTGCGAATAGGAGGTCGGGAAGTGAATCAATTGTGAGGCGAGGACATTTCCTTAGTAAAGGTGTTATGGGGAGGACCAGCTGGTGAAATTTGGACTTGGGAACGCGAGGATCAGATGAGAGAGTCTTATCCGATGTTGTTTCGTCAGGTAATTTTCGAGGGCGAAAAATATTTTAAGTGAGAGAGAGTTATAACACCCTGAATTCTAGATTAATTATTTAATATATTAATTTAGTGTGATTATATGAGTTAATATGAAGTTTTTGATGTCTTGCTGATTATATGTGATCTTTTATAGCGATTTGTGATATTATGATGAATATAAAGTGTACCATGATGATTGAGATAAACATGATGTTCAAATATGATGTTTGGATGATTGTGATGTATGATGGGATACTATGATGTATCATGGGTTGATATGTGTAGAATAGTGGGAATTAGACTAATTAAGAGGATTATTAGTATTTTGGAATAATTAGAATAATTGTTTATGATTATTTTAATTGAGAAAAATAAAATAATAGAAGTGTAGAGAAAATAAGGGAGAGATGGTAATTAGTGGAGAATAAATAAGGACAAGGTGGGAAGTTTGATATTATAGGTCTAAAGGTTATACAAGGAATTAGGGGGAAAGAAAGTCATTGTGGAACCATCGTAGAATTGGGAGAAAGAAACTGATGTTGTGGAGAAATGAGGCTAGGGCACAAAGAGGCAAGGGATTTCGGTAGAGAATCAGAGAGAAGTTGAATTGTTGCTATGATCTTAAGGTATGAGGAGTTTTATCATTGCTATTATATTTTATTTAAGGTTTAGATGATTGGTAGATTGCCTTAGATTTTGGTAGATGGTGATTTGGTGTTGTTTGATGAGAAATTGATGAATTGGTGATGAATAATGGTTTGTGATTGATGTATAATGAGTATAGAATTACAGGTTATTGATAGATGATGGAACCATGTGATTATATGGTGTTTTAGAACCTGTAACATGATAAAATCGCAAGAGAATTGGACTGGTTTATGCAGGAAATCGCAACAAGAAAACCCTATTCGCGATGTGTCATTGTGCGATGAAGGTAGTGTCGTCGGGCAAAGATGCCTCACCAGGAGAAGGTGGAAGCAAAGGGAGGAAGGTTGGAGCTAGTTTATGTAATGCGTCGCTCCAAGCATCGTCGGGCAAAGTGTGACGCGAAAGTAGCGTTGTTAGGCGAAGGAAGTGTTTCGCTAGGCGATGGAAGGCAGAATTGGTTGTCCAAGTTGGAAATCTTAAAATGATCATAACTTTAATTTTAGAGCTCAGACTGAGGTGTCATTAGAAGCATTTGATAACTAACACAATGAACTTTAATTATGTGGAGAAAGATGAGAATTAATGAGTATATCTCTGAGACCTAAGTTAGAATAGAAATAGGTTCCCCGCGTTGAATCGCAATGATGTTTTATTTATGATGATGCTTTGTCTATGATGATGATGATGTTATGATGTTGTATTGATTACTATGATGATGTTATGATGTTGTGTTGATTACTATGATGATATGATGATGTTTGTGATGAATCATGAATGGTGATGTGTGTTGACTAGTCGTGGTCGTATTAAATATATTGTTGCACATCATTGCATTCATGGCATAGTTTAGGACTTCGATCCATTGGTGTTAATAGGGCTTCGTTCCAGCGAAGATGATAGGAAGATTGTTTAGTGAAGACATCAATCTCATTGTGTGAATTGAGTACAAACTTGTGAAGTGCTCTGGTTCCAAGCGGAAATGGATCCTATGGTGGGGATATTTGGAGATAACGATGATTGAATCATCAGTGAAGTTTTGGTACTACATGCATGAGTCTATGATGTTGCATTATATTCTATGTGACATTACATAATAATTTATTTTTTATGTTTGATAATACATTGTGTATGATGATATGTGTTCGTGTAATGATGAGGTTGTGAAGGTGTGAGTATAACATGAAGGTATGATGATGTGAGAAATCTTGCTTATGTGCATATTTACTATGCCTATTCCTTATGTCTTATATAATGATTATGATTTACTCACCATTTCTGTTTGAATGTTGCCTCCACGTAGGTAACGTGCAGGTGATCGATAATAGTCCGTAGAAGCATTAGAGGATAGCATTGAAGTGTGCTTATTTTCTTTTGTTGAATAAAGAGAGTCTTGCTCTGATATATAACATCGAGGTTGGGATCGAATGATTGGAACTTATGTTCTTTATTTTGTTTTAAGATGTTGATTCACCCTACGTGGTACTCGAGATGTTTTGAATTATAAGTACGAGTTATGAAGTATGACTAATTTTATGAAGTATTAGAATTAGGTGTTTTGAACTATGATTTTAGCTGCAATGATTTAAAGGACTAAATATTGAACATATCTTGTTAAATATTTTGAAAACTCGTGTTATGGAGCAGGATGTATCGTTATGATGTTTTCATGAAGATCTGACACCCTGTTTGGTGATATACTCTGATTTATTTATTAAAATAATTGTGAATATTCCTTGAGATTTATAAGGGTGTTACACAAAACACATTAAGTTATATTGTCATATAGTTTAAGACAAAGTGCATAAATGAGTTGTACATTTGCTTCCAGTAACATCTAAAGAGTAAGTTGTGAATATTTTAACTAAGTCTTTACATCCTTGCCAATTCAATAGCTTATGAGACAAGTTAGGAATGATTGACATATACTTTAACATAGGAGGTGTTAAATGTGATGACAAGGTTATTGAAAAGTGTGGAAGTTAGTTAGCTTTGCATTGTAATTACTATAACAACATTTTAACTAACCTATGAAATAGTTAGAAACGGTTAGATGGCGGCTAACTTGACTTACTGTTTTTTTACAGGAACAAACTTAACGATTAATATTGTTCAATACAAGGAGTTATCATATTAAGTGTATTATGCCTCGACCAATAATTGGTCGCCTTAGTTAATGTATGGGCAACCGAATTCACTTGGCGCTTAATGAATTTCACCTCAAAATTCAGAAAAAATTCAGAAGATTTTTAATAGACATAATAATAAGACTAAATTCAGAACTACCTACGTGCTTAGTATGAATAGCTTGAGCTACAATTTGACAATTAGTTTCAACAGTAACATGGGATATTTGTAAAGAAATAGAGTTACGGATCGCTTTCTTTAAGGCCATAGCTTCGACTTCAATAGTAGATAAAAGTCCAACATCCCAAGTCACCTCTGCAATAATGAAACTACTCAAATAATCTCTTACACACCATCCTCTATCATATGTAAAGTTTAGATTATATGTAATAAAGTGTGATCTAACTTTCTCATCTCTATCATAATGTTGTATTTATATTTTTGTCATACTCAATTCCAACTTTAATATCTAAAAAATTATTTAAAATGACAAACTGTTTTAATTAGCTTCTCCAAAAAAAAAAAATTTTTTATTTAAAATTTGAGATTTTCAATCAAGATAAACTTATACAAAATAACTTCTACTTATTTAAAAAAAAAAGATTATTGAATAACAAAATCACTTTTTTATTAAATAATTGAGAAATTTGAATTGATATGTCAGCAAAGTCAAGAATTTCCCTCAGCCAACCTTTTTAAGCTAACAAATAGGCAAACTTTGTTACTTAGAGGTCAAGTTATTGAAAGCTGAAATATAATATAATAAATAAAATAAATAACAGTTTAAATAACATTAACTTAGCATAAACTTGAAACAAAATTGTCTCTTTGTGAATATTAAACTTCATGTCTCATTGATATAATAAAAGGCCAATCCAAAACTATCAATTTCATCAATAAAATCTTAATTCCAATTACACAAAAAGTTTATGAATCTTACTTGATTCCAATAACACAAACCAAATTATATAATAGTAATAAAAATATATGACCAAAACAACATGGGCATTTTATGGTGTTGCTTCTATTTAATTATTTAGTGTGTTAAAACATTGGAGAAAAATATAATTAGTTTAAGTTTTGTTATTGAGAAATATGGTTAATTTATTCAGTGTTAAAGCCATAGAAAGTGCAAAGCCTATTGTGTTGATGATAGTGGTTCAATCAATATATGCAGTAGTGAATATAATGTTAAAAATGGTAGCAAATGATGGATCAAGCTTAAGTGTTCTTATTGTTTATAGATTTGTATTTTCTACTGCCTTCACTGTGCCATTTGTTTTCTTCTTTGAAAGGTATATATATTTATCTCTTATGTAATAAAATATCTTTTGGTCTCTATAAAAAATAATATCAATTATTTTTGGAATGTTTTTCCAGGAAAAGTGTGCAAAATTTGACTGGAAAGGTGCTATTCCAAGCTTTTCTTTGTGGATTATTTGGGTAAAATTTACTATTAGATTAAGTATATGATTATGATTTTAAGAGAGTAATTTAAGCAAGGATTAAGTTTGATAAAATTTAAAAAAATTCAGGGGATCATTACAACAAAACTTGTATATTGAATCATTGGCTTTGGTATCTGCAACATATACTATAACCATGTTAAACCTCATTCCTGCCATTACCTATGTCCTGGCTGTTTCTCTAAGGTACGAAACACTGTTAATTTTATTAGTAAGAGTCGTCTCAAGTTTTCGGAGTCACTGTGTAGGTTATTTGCAATTTAAATATGCCAAAACTAATATAGAGACTTTAGTTTACAACAATTTACCTTTGACAAATATTTTATGAGAACCTACTTAGCCTCAGTTTAATTATGATAAATTTTAGACTATGTGTGATAGTCTGTCTTGTACGTCCTCAAAGATGGTCTTGAGCATTTTTCATGTTTTTTTAAGCAATTTTGGATTAAGGATGGGAAAATGTGTTTTGATTGATTTTCAAGAATGGAGAAGCCAAATCTTGGAACACCAGCTGGGAAGGCAAAGTTGATGGGAACATTAAGTGGAATTTGTGGTGCAATGATCCTAACTTTATATGAAGGCAAAAGATTATTTAACTTATCATTGCACATTGATTTGTTGCAAAATGTTACATCAACAACACATCATTCCCCTGCTGGTTCTCATGTTTGGGGACTCATGTTAGCTTTAGGCACTGCTCTCAGTTTCTCACTATGGTTTATAACACAGGTAGTTACAATTTCTAACTTAAATTTTACTATACAAAAATGTCAGAAAACATTATTTTCTTGTTTATAACTTTGTGACTATGGATTAACACAGTCGAAGATGAGTGAGAATTTTCCATGGCATTATTCAATTGCGGCTTTAACCTCTATAATGGGTGCAATCCAATCTTTCATATTTGCGATTTGTACCGAGAGAGATTGGAGCCAATGGAAGCTTGATTGGAATTTGAGGCTTTTGACAGCAGCTTCCGCGGTACGAAGATTCATACCATACATTAGTACATGTTTGGTATGACAGTAGATTTATCAGAATCATAGTGTTTCTGATAAATTCAATGTGATACCAAACATGCAATAACCAAGTTACGCGGCATTCAATTGACTTTGGTCTGTAATTTTGCTTTGTAGGGTATATTGGCCTCTGGAGTGTGCTTTGTTCTGTTGGCTTGGTGTGTGGGCATGAAGGGACCCTTGTATGTGTCTGCTTTTAATCCTCTAATGCTCGTTCTCGTGGCCTTCATTTCGTCGTTCGTATTGAATGAGTACATTACAGTTGGAAGGTAAACTGAGCTACTATATTTCAGAAACACGTTCATTGTAGTAAATATGTGACACAGTTACTGATGTCGACTATTTGTTATAAATCGTATTGTGCAGTCTAACAGGAGCCGCGTTGATTGTTTGCGGATTGTACATGTTACTGTGGGGTAAAAGTAAAGAAGCGAGGAAAATGCATAATATAAATGAAATAGCTTCTGCAATAGACACTGTTGAATGTGATTCATTTCACAAAGCCAACAACTCAGCTTTATCTTGCATACAGAAGGAGCATGACAAGAAGATGGCAACTATTGGTCCCAATGTATCACGAAATATCAACAACAATACTTTAGGGGAAATCCAAACAAACATTTGAAAATAACTCATGATTACATAGTTTTAATAAGATACATCTTTCCACTAAAACGCGAAGCAACCGTCAACGTTGCTGCTCTTATTTCTTTCTTCCTTTGATGGATATTACAGAACTCGGCAGAGAGTTACACCATCCCCGATAGAAACGATTGTTGACTCAACGCGAGTATCATTTGCAATATAGTTGTTGAATTCAATTGCAATTTTTCTTTTTCGCTTTGTGTTATCATCCATTTCATCGTCCTCAGACATCGCCACGGAACCAGACCTTAATGTATTGTCATATGCAATTATTCCACCCTTTCTTACCAGTTTCAATAACACCTCATGATACTTTGTGAAGTTTTCCTTGTCAGCATCCACAAATGCATAATCAAACGACTCTTCGTGTTTTCCCTATAATACAAATAATCAGATCTTCATTCTTCTTCGATTTTCTATCCATTACATGCAAAGAGAATAAATCCTAAACCCTAAACTTACATCAATAAGGCCGTTGAGGCCTGAAAATGCATCAGTGTGGATAAAATCAATTTTGTGCTCGACTTCTGCCTTCTGAATGAAGGGCAATCCCGTCTCGTAGGCTTCTCGATCCATATCGATTCCAATTACCTGAAAGTATGGAAATTCATAAACTACATTTCATTTTAAATTATTCATATCATCATCGTCATCAATATTTACGCTACGATACCTTGCCGTTAGGAGGAAGAGCAAGGGCAGTAGTAAGAAAAGAATAACCAGTGAAAACTCCAATCTCCAATGTTTTGTTAGCATTCATGATTTTCAGAAGCATAGATATGAATTGTGCTTCATCCAAAGGCACATTCATTACACTCCTGTGACAGTGATCACAAAAGTAATGGAGAAAATAAATAAATAAATAGGGTTGAATATATGTAGATATATGTAACTTACATTTTGCCGTATTTTTGGATTGTTGTCTCTCTAAGTTGCTTCAATTGTTCGTGTTCTTTTGGATATGAACTTGTTTCAAGGATGTACTGGTTAAAAAAACACATGCAGAAAAACATATTTTTAATGTTAAAGATCTAATTGTGGTTAATTATGACTGTACTGACCGAAATCACGAAAGTTTGTGACCGCTACTGTTATTTAAAACCTTGAATATATCAATTAAAAGTTGTACGAAGACATGGATTAATTTGGATTGAATGGAATGAGTAAATTACCTGAAGAAGTGCTGGAGTTTTGAGGATGTTCTTGGCCATGGTTGAAGGTCAGGGCAAACTGGAATTGATCTGTTGATGAAGTGAGTCTTCTGTCTTTATCTAATTATGATTAAATTGTTATATAAGATTAATGAGGGAAGAAGTATTTTTGTCCCAATTTGGGCTTGATAAATCGGGCTTGATAAATTAAATTAAATTCAGCGACATAAAATTGCATTACCAACAATAATACATCATCATAAAATTGGATGCAGATTTCTTGTGCTCATTGATGCACACATTCACAACATTCACTGCATCATCAGATTTTTTGTGCTTATTGTGAAATTTAATAAAAATTCGCTAATCTCTTTTTAAAAGTTTACTTACATGGTCGACTAATGAATCCTAGAATATAGTGCCTAAATTCTTCTGAGTTTTGTATAAATTTGTAAGAAAAGTTAAAGATTTTGACGTAGGTGAAAATCTTGGTACTAAAGTAAGAGAAATAAAAGTAAAATTTCTGGAAACGTAAAGGACTTCGACAATGATTGAAATTGTGACAACTGAAAGTAAATGTACTGGAATGTAGAAAAGATAAATTTAATGTAAAAGATTTTGCATTGAATAAAATTGGTGTTTGAATAAGTACATTGCACTCAATTGACTCGTTTCTCGTTTCGCTTGGGTACTTTGAATATAATGAATTTTTGTAGTAAATTCAACACTCTGAATCCTAACACTAGAATTCATATTTGTACTAATACTAAAATAACTGTCTCCAACGAATTTCTTCTTGGAGATCGACACGTCTTCGCTGCATGCATTTCGCCCTTAGATTCGCCTCCAAGTGTACTTTCAGATAAGACTAAAAAACAATTACGCATCTTTTCTCCCCGTCTGATCTATTGACGTCGAAGATGTGTGCCAACCATTTCGTCGAAACTTCAGTTGTATTGGTTATCGTCGAAGTATTCTTAAGAAAACGCTAAGTCCCCATTTCTTATGCTTGACACTCCGACTAGATGATCTTGACGAGGTTATGTCAAAAATACATTTTTAGTCCTCCAAATTCCACTTAATTTTCTCTGAACTCCTTCTCATCTCATTGAGCTTATTGTGGTCGAAAATCTCGACTAACAAATTTCCCTCCAAAAATGCCACTTTCAACTAACTAGAGATAGTGGTGTTTTTTAATTCTCTCGACGATGTAACTAGTAATGTATTGACATCGTGGTCATCATGACCACTTTATCAAACGTCACTTCGAGACATGTGAATTTAGAAAATCTCAACCGTGGCTCCGATTTTCAAGGAAAAACGTGGGCCACGCAAATCAGCTGCCTGATACGTCCTCTAGGAACATCACATGTGTCCCACGATCAACATCATTTGTCAAATGCAACTGAAGAGTCTCCCTCTTTCCTACTATAAATACTTTTTCTTCTTCATTTCTTCCTCTTTTTCCTTTTTATCTTCCGATTTTCTGCAATAAACTCCTGAACTTTTATTTTCTAGAACCTAAAAACCTCTCTTTTTAACAAATCATTATCTGCCATGGTTGTTTCAAAGTCTAAGAACTTAAAAGATTCTATAGGCTCAAAAGAGTCTCGGTCTCTTTCTACCATAATCACAAAGTCAATCATTGTTGGGAGTCAAGAGTATATCCCTGAACCTCCATAATAAGAGGATAAGTTTCACATTTATAAGTCCTAGGTACTAATTCCTTTCTCTATTTTTGGAGAAGTTCATGTGCTTATGGGTCGGTTACTTGGCCCTAAAATAAATACGGATAAGTTAAAGGAATTTTTTTTCTGCTTACCACCGTACCAAACCCGTAGCTAGCTTGAAAAATCCAACGGCTAGTACAAATAACCTTAGTGTAAAATCCATTGCTCAAACCAAGAAATCTAAGGCTAAACATGTTGTTAAAGCAAAGAAACCTAATGATAAATTTGTTGTTAATGAAACGAAGCCTAAAGATAAGTATGTTGATGATGCAAAGAAACCCATAGGCTTAGCCTATATGAGCCACACTTTTCGTGTGTTTCACTATGCTCCTTTAGTCAAGAATGTTGAAGATTACATCTCTTGGCTAGGCAAAGTAGAAAATAAGAAAGTGCAAACATGGAAAGGCATAGGGATTTATGACTTGATTTAACTGTCGAAAGTAGGTCCCCTTGTTTCTAAAATATGCTTGTCGCTTTCTTATATTTCTGGGAGAGCACTACCAACACATTTCAGTTTCCTTGTGGCATGATCACGCCTACCCTTTTTGACATAGTGGTCATTAATGGTTTTCACCTAACTAGGAAGATTTTTGATCCCAACGAAAGAAATAAGGATACCATTACTTTCAACACTGATCGCACTAGCTTTGGACACTACATAACTAATCATTATGACACTACCACCAACAAAGTATATGATGAAGAACATATTTCATATTTGGCATTGTGGCTAGCATGCTGCATCTTCTGTTGAAAGTATTAAAAGGTGTAGAAAAGATTCTTGACCTTAGCTACCAATTGCATGAAGGTCGAAATATTTGTCAAAGCCAGTTGATATTAGTTTCTTTGTATGAGACTTTAGGGTTAGTTGTTGACTCTTTCAAAACCCTCAAACCTGAAGCCAATTTTCTGTTGGTTGGCCCTTATTGGTTGCTCCAACTATGGCTAAATGTCATGTTTCAACTATCTCTACAAATCGATAAACAAAAATATGATAATGAAGAGACCAAGAATAAGAGGATTGAAGGTGCTTGATTGGCCTTGACGAATCCTACTGATAATGGGCATACCTTGCAAGAGGCTTTTACAGGGTAGGTCATGATGTTTGCAAAACGCCAAAATTCCACTTCATCCATGGCTCCTTTCTCCATTCGAACTCATGGCCCTGAGTGGTTCACTCGAGAACTCCCTCCTCCTAGTGTTGATCAAGAAGCAGAATCTCTTGAAATATGAGAAGTTTTTCTCATCCCAAAACTAATCTGGACCAGGTTGGAAAACTCCAAGGAGCATGTAAAAAATTTATGTTACCAACCCAACCTTGTATCTCGTCAATTTGGAATTAATCAACTTTTGCCCAAGTCCTTCTTTAGTTGAAAGAATGAGCTTTGCCTCTGCAATGTCAACTTCTTTGAGGATGAATACATTGAGCACTTGGATCGACATGTTGCTGACATTTCCAAACTTACACCGCTCTCTTTTCGACCATCATTTTATTGTACTAAAGAGTTTGATACTTGGTGGAAAGCTTATTACGTTGGAGAATTCTTTAGAGTCTCGGTACTGTTGCACCATCTAACAAATGCTTTTTCTTCTGTGCAGATGAAGTTCAAGAAAGGTAGAGACAAACATATAAAAGAGATCCAAGCTTTCCAGCATTATTTTGAAACTGTGTATAGGTCAAATGATCTTAGTCGAACTATTCGTGAGGCAGCAGCCACTCTGAGGGAAAAACTATTAGAAAGACTTCCTAATTTGAAAATTCCCCACTATATGAAGGACAAATATAAGTTTTATTTTAAATTTCATCCTCCCAAGTTTCCCTCTTTGCTCAAAAATGAAATGGCTTTGGCTTTTTGACCTCCATTTCCATAGTGGTTCGTCTGTGGGTCACGTTTAAGTGTCCTCATGAATGAACGTTTAAAACATAATAAACTGGTAGTTCCGACTAAGCATGATCTAGACATTTTCAAAGGCCACCTTCATGTCGATATAAAACATGTCAAAGTTCTTTCTCCAACACATGAAGGTGAGAAGGATCTTTTGATCAACTTATCTTATTGTATCTATTTTTCTCTTTTTACACTTTATGTGTCGCTTTA